TTATTTTTGAAAGTTGGCATTAAGTAGATCAAACTCTCACCCGAGCTAGACTTTCCATTGTTTTGAATACTTACAAAAAGAGTAAAATGCTCAGTTATATTTTTCTATGCCTTATTTTTTTTTTACATCACTGGGATTTATTTGGGGGAAGGCAGGATCCTAGCTGGAATTTCCCGAAATAATCAATTTTCCCAGCATCCACTGCTCAACAGTTCCTCCTGCTCCGAAGCAGAACTCTGACCACCAGAAGCCAGGAGGTTTGAGAACCTGATGGGCACCCGGCAGAGCAGATCCAGACTAGATAGACAAGGTGGTCCCCCCACCACCGCGGCAGCAGCTTCCAGGCCGACCCGGCGAGAGGCAAGCCGTGCTGCCAGGTGACGGAGGACGGCTGAACAGAGCACTGAGCCCGCTTTCTCCTGGCGGGTCCACAGCCCCGAGAAGGCCTGGGCTCTCTCACCATAGAAGCACCTGGACCCTGCCAGCCCTGCCAGGAAGGTCTCACCCGAGTAGTCCTCAATGACCCCCAGTGCCCCATGGCCTGTCCCCTGAGCTTTATCTCCTCATGTTGACAGAGGTCCCCTGCCTTTGCCCGGTGACTTTCAGACACTCTCCTCCCTGTGACCCTTGCCTGCCCACCCCCCACCCCCCCAGGGCCACTGGGGTGGAGGTGAAATCTGGAGCCTGGACCATCCGCCTGTCACTCAGTGACCCTCCTGAGTGACCACACCCCTCCCTGAGGTGCTCTCCTCCAGGGCAGAGACCAGAGCTTTGAAAGGAGTCCTCCTCTGCCATGACCAGCCACCTGGGCTCCAAGAACTGGGGTCTCGAGTGAGTACAGGGAGCCTCTCTCTATTGAGGAGACCGCACTGCCGGGGCCCAATCAGAAGGCCCAGGCCCAGGTCCAGGGTAGGAGTGGGAGGAATGAGAGGGCAGCTTTCTCTCTGGGTGTGAGTGACCACCCCCCTCCAGGCTGGACAACCGGGGAGAAGCCAGGGCCTGCACTGCTGTGTGTGTGTGTGTGTGTGTGTGTGTGTGTGTGTGTGTGTAGAGGGGGTATAGACACAGGACGGAAGAGGGGTCAAGCCACAAGAAGGCCAGGGGTAAAAATTAAACTATTCTTTTTGGAGTCCGATCTAGTTCTTAGAGTGGGAGGGGCTGTGACTGTGTGTGGGTAGAGATGAGCCTCTGTCCTCATAGGAGGCTGGCCCTGAAGTGGGAGGGGCAGAGGAGGGGGCGTGTGTGTGTGTGTGTGTGTGTGTGTGTGTGTGTGTGTGTGTGTAGGAGGCCATGCAGGGGCAGAGGCCTCTGGGGTGCAGCCAAGCGAGCCTTCCCCTTCATAGCTGTTCTGTGGGGCTCAGGCCACACAGCTGTGATCCCCTTCAGCCGCAGTCCTTTCTACGAGGCCCTGAAGGCACAGCCCCTCGCTGAGCTGACGGCAGAGCAGCTGGCATCACAGTGAGAGGAAAAGGCACCGTAGGAACCATGGAGCCCGACCTGTGGCCTTCGTCTTACAGATGAGGAAACTGAGGCTCCAGAGGTTTGTGGTTCACCCAGGAGGAGAACCAGCTGGTCAGTGGGCAGCCAGGTGCCCTCCTCCTCCTCCAACTGCTGGGACTGCCCTCCATGCCCAAGGCGGTGTGGGTCCCCCGGAGCTCACTCCTCACCCCAACCCAGTGCCAAGGCTGCTGGGGGAAGAGCCAGACCAAAGGTGGGACACCTCTCTGGGACCCCGTCAGTCTGACGGTGGCTTCTGAATGAAGGGGCCCCTCAGGACTGTGGTCCCTCCGCCCCTACCCGTGACACCCCTACAGCCCTCCCACGCCTCAGAGAGCCCCCCAGCCCCTGCCGGTCTCTATGCCTCAGAGCACTTACCACAGCATCCTTTTCCCTCTCCCTTTTCCTAGAGAGTAAGCTGCACACAGCAGGGGGAACCGCGTCTCTCTTCTGTCTACTCCCAGCTTCTAGGCCAGAGGAACTTTGAAAACCTCCTTTCAGCGCTTTTTAGTTTTTTGCTTAGGAAGCCCTGTATTCACTACTTCCCTTTGCTGGCCGCGGCGGCGCGTGCCTTCTCCTCTGCCTGGATGCCCTTTTCCTCCTTATTTCCTTTGCTAGCACCTCTCTCGAAGCCCAGCTCAGCTGCCTCCTCCAGGAAACCGGCCTGAACGCTCCGTAGGAACATCCCGGCAGGGCCTGTCCGCCCCGGCCATGGCGCCCTGGCTGTGCTGGTCCCCCAGGACACTCTCCCTATGGGGGCTCTCCCAGGTGCAGAGAATGGCCTAGAACGGAGGCAGGCGAGGCGGCGTTCCAGTCACAGAAGCCCCAGCCCGGGGCCTGGCAGGCCGGGGAGGGGAGGGCACCAGCTGGCGGGAGGAGCCGGTTATCGATGCTGGATGCTGCCCAGAGCCCTGGGGAAATCAAGGTGAAAGGCAGCCGTCCTGCTGAGGCGGCGGCCGGGCCGTTGTGTATCAATCAGAGGGGCTGGGAGGGGGCAAAACCTGCGGGGGCTGCGCCGAGAAGGGGGGAGACCCACCCTGCGGCCGGGCCGGCTCTCAGTACCTGAGCTGGGTTCAGAAACGCGGTCCCTGGAGCCTTATCTAAGGGCTGGGGCGTGGAAGCCGATGCCTTGGCACTGCAGCAGCACCAGGGGGTGGTGGGGAACAGGTGTGCTCAAGCATCCCGGGCCGTGCCAGCCTTTCACCCCGGGGCCAGGGCCACCTTGCCAACACTGTGCTGGCCGGGCAGGCTCTCGGCCTGCCAGCCAGGGCCTGTGGGCAGGGAGAGGTGAGCAAGCTGGCCCAGGAGGAGGGAGTGGGCAGGGGCATGGCTAGAGCAGGGACACAGACAGGGAACCTCGGACAGAGGAGCAGCTCCAGGCTGGGATCCACCCGAGGTAACACAGGGCGGACACAGCAGGGGATTGGGGGTGACCCCAACTGTCCCCCACCCCCACCCCAGCTGCCCTAGCAGAAGGGGCATGCTTGGAACCCTACCCCCTCCATCTGAGCAAAGTGATGTCAAAGAGAAAACCCCAAATCGGATTGAGGCTCCTGCTCCCTCTTAATGAGGTTCATTATCAGCTGCTCTGATCCTTGTAAAACTGGGCAGGACAGATTAGGGGCAGGCCCTCTAATCCGGCTGACTCCTCCGGGCTGAGCCGCCAGCCCAGGGCCCCTCTCCTTCCGAGGGAGCTGGAGAGCAGGGTGCCAGAGAGCCAGGCAGGTGCAGACAAAGGTGCTTCCAGCAGAACTGAGAGCACCTGGGCAGGTGTTCCGGAGAAGATGTGGGTGCAGGGGGTGGGACTGCACCTCCACTGGGGCCTGCCTGCTGCTCTGGGAGACGCTGGGCCCGGAGCACCCAGAGCTCTGTGGGCAGTCGGGGAGGGCCCCTCGAGGAGGAAGGGGCTGTGATGGGCACCGGGTCCCCTGCAGGCCGGCAGCTCTGTGAGCCAGGGGGACTCACGTCTTGCTGGATCTCTCAGGACAGAGTTTTGCACAGTCTGTCCAGACCTGGACACTAGGCCTCCAAGCAGCAAGTTACAGGACACAGGGGTGCTTGCCTTAACAAAAATAATTTATTCCACAGCCCTCGCCAGCAGTGGGCAGAGTGAGAATCAAGCATGTGTATGTACAGCGCCACCCACCCCTCTGACCCGCTCACCTCTACAAGACGGGAGGTGGCCCCCGAGAGGCGATACTCCTCTCACTCCAGCACCCTCCACACTCAAAGATTAGCATCTATTTTGAAAATCGAAATCAAGCAAAGGTCCGGCTCCCCAACAGGGGCGCAGAGGCGGGAAGAGCCAGAGCTCATGGGAAGCCACGTTTTCCTGCTTCCTCACTCCACCTCTCCCAGCTCGGCCCCGAGTAAGGCACGGTAGATCCCAGCATCCCCACCTCAGTCCCACGCTGCCCTTCGTGCAGGTCCCGCTAAGCCAGCCACTCACCCAGCCCAGCGGCCATCACCCGCCCAGCGGAGCCAGCCCACACCAGCCCCAGCCTGTGTGCTCCCCGTAGCAGAGGCTTGGGAAGGACCAGTCCCAGGCGTCCTCTGACAAATGTCACCTGGGAGGCCAGCATGACCTCGAGCTTCCAGTCCCTACGCTAAGGCCGCCCCCCAGCCAGGAAGTCTGAGGGGCCAGAGGCGGTCCTTCCTTCTCTGGGGCGAAGGCCTCTGTATCCAGAGGGAGCGGGACGGGCGGGGCCCTGGGGTGTAGGGCGGGGCCCTGGGGTGTAGAGCAGGGCCCTGGGGTGTAGGGCGGGGCCCTGGGGTGTAGGGCAGAGTTCTGCTCCAGCCCATGGAGCCCCCCGGGGACCCTCCTCCGGTGGGAAGCCGTGGAAGCTGTGGCTCACTTGCCCCAATTTAGGGCCAAGACCAAGCAGGAGACATTGGAGCATCAGCAAGGAGGAGGCGGGGCTTCAGATAAGCTGCAAGAGAGGAAGTGGGTGCTGAGCAGCCGTGGACGTGGACGGAGCTCCCACCCTCCCTGCCTGGGGCTGCCCCCCCCTGCGCCCCTTGCGCTGTCTGAGGAGCCCGGACCCGCACACGTCTTCATGTCTCTGGAACATCCTTTCCCACAAGGACCAAGGAGGGTTCACTGGAGCAACTGGTTTTCCTGGGTTTCCCTGGACAAAGAGCAAGGCGGGGAGCGGGCAGGGGCTGGAAGAGCCCATGGGTAGCAGCAGCTCCCTTTCCTGCCACCCTCCCCAGCTGACGGTTCAGGCTGTGGGGTGGCTGGCATGGCCCTTCAGGGCCCTCATCCTGGCCCGGAAGTAGGTGTACATGGCCAGCAGGCCCATGAAGGACAGGGAGTAGAGCACCACACAGAGGCTGAGGTCCAGGTGCGAGAAGTCGCCTTCCAGCACCTGCAGCCACTGGCCGCGGCCCCGCAGGGCCCCAGCCTCGGGCTCCCCCTCGGGGACACCGGCCAGCTGCTTGGAGCTGCGGCCCACGCGTCTCCGCTCTGAAGGGCCTGTGGGGAGGTCCTCAGCCGGGAGCTCAGCCAGCAACCCGGCTCCCAAGTCTCGCTCG